GTCCAGTCCAGTATAGTTCCTTTATTAGCTTACGCCCTAAAGACAGAATCTCGCCAGACTAGATCTGTGCTAGAGCAACTAGTGGATATACCCCGTGAGACTCTAGGGAGGGGCTAGCCTAAGCCTCTTCTTCTCACAGTCGTGCTGCAGGCTGAGAAAGCGCTTGCTTTGTACCCTCTCCTGAAACGTACTCCCTCCCTCCTGATAGCCTCGATCTTCCATTCCAGTATCCTCCTCGCTGTGCCTTCCATTACAGTGAATATCTGAGTTCAAACCCCGTCTCAGCCATGATGCTGACAGAGTGACGATGGGCCAGTCACATTCTGCAAGCTGTCTGACCCGGCAGAGTTGCAAAGATAAAACGGAGGGAATCCCGAATCCCGTGCAGGGCCGTTCGGTACAGGTGCACTTTTGCTCTTTTCAGGTTCTCTGGTGCTGCACCAATTCAGTCACGGACAGTCCAATCCGACTTACTACGTCAGATTTGGGGATCATCGGTTGGTTTTAAGGAAGAAGCCACCGGGGAAGCTCCTGCCCTCTGCTCATGCAGTAGAGAGAGAATACAGGTGAAAAACTCAGCAACTATAGCAGTAAACAGACACCCAGTTTCCCCATTATGTAGAAATGCTAACAGGGAAACTTCCCAGCCTACAATGTTCATCATTTATGTTAGCTGGCAGTGAAAGGTATCATAAGCCAAGACATCTGAAGGGCACCACAGCTATTATAATTTTCTCTCTCTCTTTTTTTTTTTTTGCATGGCTTCAGTCATTTCTCCTCCAAAACTAAGCGCGGCATATCTGCTCCATCTTAATGCTCTTCTCTTTCTGTTGGGTAGGATTCTGAAGGCCCTTGGGGATACTGGCATTCCTGTTCCAAAAGTCCTGTCCTTATGTGAAGATTCAAGGTGAATCTTTCTGTGTGCATGTATGCGCTTGAGTTTTCAGAGGCAGGTGTCTGAAAATATCAAGATCCTCTGCTAATGTCCTGATGTTGCTCTAGTGTCATCGGCACCCCATTCTATCTGATGGAGTACTGCGCTGGCCGGATCTTCAAGGACCCTTCTCTTCCAGAACTTGAGCCCCACCAGCGCATGGAGGTTTATACTGCCATGAACAGCGCCCTCTGTAAAATCCATAGTGTAGACATCAAAGCCGTTGGTCTGGAAGATTATGGAAAACATGGTATGTAAGGCCCCTCTCTGTTGTTCCTTTGCAGGAACTATTGTTTTCTTGGGTTATTTTAAAATAAAATTTGGTCCACCGGTGGAAAGAGAGTTTCAGCTTGGTGGATGGAGATTTCTGGAAGAAAGATCCTCCAGCTGGTGAGAGAGAAAAGGCCAGTTAAAATCCGGGGGTGGGGAGTCCCTCTGAGATTGTAAACCTGTACCCGAGGGCTGTTTAAAATTGATTTTTTTTGTAGGATTTTTTTTCCTGCAAAGAACAGGATAAGCGTTACTTAATTAAAAGAATAATGTTGTAGGAAATTATGTCCAGCGGCAAATCCAGACATGGAGCAAGCAATATCGGGCCGCAGAGACCCACGCGATCCCAACCATGGAGAGGCTCCTCGAATGGTTCCCATCCCACCTTCCAGCCAGTGAGCAGCTCTCAATTGTTCATGGAGATTTCAGGTACTGATTGACCTGTCGTGTGTCTACTGGTTTTTCAGAAGCAGGAAAGTAAGAGAGTATACATTTCAAAATAAGTAAACAGAGACTTGGGACCAATACTCTCTGTGCTGCAGGTCCTGAAATAACATTTATTTCCAACCTATGAGACTAGCCTGCCTTTAGTTCTCAGCTGATGCAAGTCCTTTAGTTTCCTCTGCAGGATGTGCACCAATTGGAAAGGGGGGGGCAGCTCCCTTTGTCCTCATTCTTGGCCCCCTCCCCAAACTATTGGCTGTGCAGTTTACTAAAGCTAGGGAGGAGAACCTGGGCCTCAACCACCACCAGGCCCCAGAAACATACCAAACCAGAAGAAGATTTAGTTTTTTTTAAATAATTTAGTTTTTTTAAAAAATGAAGGAAACTTCCTCCCAAACCTGACATGTTTTGGGCCCCTCCCCCAGCTCCTAAGTGTGGCTCCTGGCCATCAGAAGATTGTCCACCTTGCTTTACAGTAGCCTTCCCCGATCTACTGTGTTGGAACTGCAGTTCAGTATGGACAAAATTTCCCTTTACAGACTGGACTTCTCTGCAGCTGCTGCCTTTCCTTTTGTAGACTGGACAATCTTATCTTCCACCCCGAGAAAATTGAAGTTGTTGCTGTCCTCGACTGGGAGCTCTCCACCTTGGGGAACCCTCTCTGTGACGTGGCGCATAACTGTCTGGGGTATTACTTGCCTTCTGATTGCAACATCTTAAAAGGTGCTTGTCTATTCCCAAGTGTCAGGGTTAAATTGAGGTGTCCCAATTAAACAGCACTGGGGAGGGAAGGCCCTCTATGGGAAACCATGAAGGCCTTTATCAGAGGAGTTGATGTGATCCTGGAGATTTTCCCATCCCAAGCTGGCTGATCATAAGGTCCAGATTGGCACCTAAGCCAGATGGGAAGATGTGGGTAACCTGCCACGGAGTTTTATAGAGGTTCCAGCTTTTCCTGCTGCCTTAACTTTTCCTCCATTCATTCATTCGTTCGTTCGTTCATTCATTTATTATATTTGTATGCCGCCCATCTCCCCCAGAGAAGTAAGAGGATAACAAGAGGGTATTCCTGAGAAGAGCCTCAAGCCAGGAGCCAAGTTGCCGAATGTAGCGTTTCCTGAGGGGCGCATTCTAATCAGAGCTTGGGCCAGGCCTAACTCCAGCTTGCCGCTTTCAGGTTTGAGCAACCGTGACCTCAGCCAAATGGCCATTCCCACGGCAGAGGCCTACTTCCAGATGTACTGCCGTCACCGGGGTATCCCTCCAATCGAGAACTGGAACTTCTATATGGCCTTTTCCTTTTTTAGAATGGCTGCCATCCTACAGGGCATCTACAAACGCTTCCTCGCAGGTGATGTTAGTCTGGGGGTTTGTAGGCAGACAGAAAAAAAGCCGGGGAGCAGCCAGTGCTACAGATAGGCTGGAGGGGTAACAACCCTAAAACGTACATCGCTGAGCCACCTGCGTTTTCTTCTACCCAGACCAGGCCACTTCAGCAACAGCCGAAAGCACCGGCAAGCTAGTGGAGTTCATGGCGGACCTCGCTTGGGATTTTGCCACGAAGGAAGGCTTCCGAATCTTCAGGGAGCTTCCAAGTTCTAGACCGCTCATCAGGACATTCAGTACTTGGGCTGGCCCAAGATGGTTCCTAAGGAGGGACTACTCCACACTGAAGCCTGCATCCCAGTCCCACCTGATCGTGTCTCCCGAGGGCCTGCCAAACCATGTCCAGGAGATGTACCACAAACTGAAGAGATTTATGGATTCCCACATTTACCCATCTGAGCAGCTCCTGCGAGATCACCAGTCTTCCCCGAGTAGGTGGACTCCCCATTCTCTCATAGAAGAGCTCAAGGCAAGTCCTCGTCCTTGGGAAACATGGCCAACTTCTTAGTTGGTGGCAACAGTAACGCAGCATTATGAAGGGATGTACTTTGCAAAATAACTTGATTAAATGGGTTTTTGCCCTCTTGCCCCAAGATTTTTGCTAACTAAAGTTTTACCAATCACAGGAGGAGGAATAAGAAGGGATGTGAAAAAGGGCAGGGCATCTCAAATAATCTGGTTTCAGCTGGAGGGGTGAAGGCAAAGAGTGGGTCTTAATGGAGGAGGAATGATATAGGCCTTCTGGACGGATGTCAGACTCTGATCCCCGTCACCAGCAGGCCTTGGCCATGCTAGTGATGGCCAGTGGTAATTGTAGTCTAACACACCCAAAGAAGGTTTGGATAGAGAAAGGCTGAAGTATATACTAAAGCAACATCAAATCCCACATATTAAAGAAAACAAGCTCATGATGTTACTCCATATTCTAGGATATTATACTGAAGGGAGGGTGGAAGGTTGTGAATCATTTATTGTAAACCGCCCAGAGTCACTTCCGCGTGAGATGGGCGGTTTCTAAATTTGAAATAAAAATAAATAAAATAAATCATCAGCCAAGCTCTTTCTATATATCCATCATCTCCCATTGTTGCTTCTGAAAATCCTTCTTGGGAAGATAAACCCTGATGAAAATCCTGTCCAGTATGATACTTGGATCTAATTACATTCCTAGGGCACCAGAGAATGTGTCTTATGGATCTGTCCTCATTTTTCTTCTCTCTTTCTTCTCATCCTCCAGGACAAAGCAAAATCTGAGGGGCTGTGGAACCTTTTCTTGCCCTTGGAGAGTGATCCAGAGGTGAAATACGGAGCAGGCTTGACCAACTTGGAATTTGCCCACTTATGTGAACTGATGGGGACTTCAGTCTATGCCTCTGAGGTACCCACAAAAAAGCCCTAATGGGGGCAAACTTGAGCAGAAGGATGTCAGGTCTTCCTTGTGCATCCTCTATTGGGGAAGGGCCATTCGTTCCTCCAGACTCAAAGGGGCACAGATCAGAGCTGAGGGTGCTGCCTGTATTTCTTACCTTTCGGCTGGATGTTAATAGCCTCTTTGCTGCTCTGTTGCTGCTCTGTCCCTCTTGATCTTCTCTTCTGAAAATGGTTAAGTGTCGTCTCCCCTCCCACCAAAGAATTACTTACCCTGTCAGCTCCAGATCCAGGGGATCTGTTAGGCGCATGCTAGGAAGGAGCTGTGGCTCAGTGATGGAGAACCTGTATGGAATCTGGAAGGTCCTTGGCTTAGTCCTCAGATCTGGTGGTGGGAAAGAATTCTCTGTCTGCTGGAGATCTAGGAAGTTAACCAGGGTAGATACTTCTGGGTAAGATGAATAAAGAACCTGAGTTGGTATGAACCTGCTGCCAGCATAGGATGAGCTGGTGCTGATCTTTCATCTGATGACTGACTACAAAGGTCTGTGGGAAGATCTTTTGGTAAACCTGACCCAGGAATAGCCAAACCACAATCCCAAGAGTCTATTTTGCTTCACACTCTCTTTGACTACCCCATCTGAGCTAATCATGGTTATCTTCTCTAGGTATTCAATTGCTCTGCCCCAGACACTGGCAATATGGAAGTGTTAGTGCGCTATGGCACAGATGCACAGAAGGAACGCTGGCTGATGCCTTTGCTAGAAGGCAAGATCCGCTCCTGCTTTGCTATGACAGAACCCCAGGTCAGTGCCCACCTCCACCCCACAATTCTCAGTATTCTGTTCCTCTTTGGAGGTGAGGAGGAAGCTCTGGTCTGGTCCAGAGCAGTCGTGGAGCGGCATTCCGCCTGATTTATGTGCAGTTCCCATGCTGGATCAGTCATGAGTCTTTATCTCCCTTATTTCTGGTAGGCTCACCTGCCCATTTATGTTGCAAAACTGCTTTAGGAACTGTGGGATGGTTTTGTGATACATGGTCACTAGCCAGTCAGCATTGTCCACGTTCAGGTTCTGTTTCAAACTTGCAACATCACTGACAGAAAAGTACGTTCTTAGCGAATGCAGAGGGGCTGCATCCCAGCTGGCCCTTTACTCCAAAATATGGCACTTGCCTTCCCTCTGCAAGGAAGTTGGTATTTTCTTAGGTTGCTTCCTCTGATGCCACCAACATTGAGGCTTCTGTCACCAAAGAAAAAGACACCTACATTCTGAATGGGCAGAAATGGTGGATTTCAGGTATGTTCTGGTTTGTCCCTGGTTTTCAGCCAGCAGTGCAGGGAGCATTTTCCCAACATAGAAAGTGTCTCTTTCCGGCAGGTTCCCTGGACCCTCGTTGCCAGCTCTGCATCTTTATGGGCAAGACCAACCCTGAGGCCCAGAGACACAAGCAACAATCGATGCTGCTGGTCCCCATGGACACTCCTGGCATCACAGTCACCAGGCCGCTCAGCGTGTTTGGCTTGGAAGATGCCCCAGGTGAGGCCGAGGGCCCTCTCTGGTTTAGGATGCCCCGTAGATGGGGAACTTTAGGTCTGAGTCTCTTAGCTGTTCAGAGACCGTGTTGGATTGGTATCAGTTAGCCTTTAACACCTTCACAGTTAGTTCAGACAAAGCCTCTTGGTGGAAGTTGGCTGTAACCATAGAATAACAAGTAAATTTACAACTGCTGTAAAGAAAGTCAGAAGCTATTTCTTTATATTTTCTTTCTCTTTTTTCCTACACTTTTGGCTTTCCCTTCTTTTCTTTCTTTATTCTTTATTCCTTTATTTTACTTTATTCCTTTATTTTACTTTATTCCTTCCTTTTCTTTATCCTAAATATTAATTTCTGTTCTATCTTTCTTTATTAAAATCTTAATAAAGTTACATTTAAAAAAAACCCAAAGCCTCTTTGGCTCCAGTGGTGGAGAGCTGGCAAAGAAGCAGCCTGGGCGTAAAACTGGCATGAGCAGCGGCTGGGGCTCCTTCCATGGGGCCCTTCTCACTTCCCTCCCTTTCCAGCTGGCCATGGGCAGATGACATTTGAAAATGTCCGCGTTCCCCAAGAGAACCTCTTGCTCGGCCCTGGGCGCGGGTTCGAAATTGCCCAGGGGAGGCTGGGCCCAGGAAGGATACACCACTGCATGAGGCTGATTGGCCTGGCGGAACGAGCCCTGGCACTCATGAAGGAGCGGGTAAGCAGCACTATATGGCAAATGCAGCTCGGTGTCCCCAGGATCAGATGTTTCCTCTGCTTGCTAACCTTATTCACTGTGTCCTGGGAAGGGGAGAGAAGCCTTTGTGGGGGCTGGATTCACGTCAGTCACACCAAGCCTTGATTTACTTAACCAGAGTGTGTTGAAATAGCCATCATCAGCTTTGCACCTCATGCTATGGCACAAGGCATAGTGTATAAATCGTAGTGGCTGAGTTCGCACGCCACATTATGGCAAAACTGAATAGACCACATTACAGCTTAGCACCAGAAGTGAAGGCAGCCCCTGTAAGCTATGTTTTATCGGGACAGAGATCTGAAGGTGTGTCACACTCTTTTCAGAGGGAAAAGGTCCTAGGACATGTGTCTACAGTAGGTGAAGAAGTTGAGAACTTCCACCAGTTCCATTGTGCCTGGCTTTTCCTGCCCCAGATGTATCCTCATTACATGAATATCAGTCCCTGCTTTCTATCTATGCCTTCGAATTTATATTCCACCAAGTGATGCTCTGTGGTTTACAAGTAGTAAGCTGTAAAATACCTAATGGACCAAAATAAGTGTAGATAAAATGTATTAGTCAAACCAAGATGCAGGAAAACTACTGGACAAAAGCAAAGTTTGTTGAATAAGACCAGCTTGGCCTGCTGCTGAAGGAGGCCTCTGTGCCAAGGGGTTCCAAAGCCCCGGAGCAGCCACAGAGGAGGTCATCTTGAGCTCCTTCCAAATGCCCTTCAGCTCTTGGACCAAAAACAGGTCTCTCATAAGGTCCCCAGCCATGCAGAGGCACGTGGGTCATCCCTGCTTCTTTGAATTGTCTTGGCAAAGGGCTATAGAAGGCCCCACCGGGGGAAAGACCCTCCGTGAACTAAGCCACTCCGTACAATTGAGAGCAAAACCTTCCTCCTGGTGCGTTGGTTGGCAGGTAACAACCCGCGTGGCCTTTGGTAAGCCGCTGGCAGAACAGGGCACCATCAGGGCAGATCTCGCTGAGTCCCGCATTGAGATTGAACAGGCCCGGCTCCTTGTTCTCAAGGCAGCCCATCTCATGGACTCTGTTGGAAATAAGGTAAGCGCTGGGAGAAGTCCAGAGACTGGATGCTATGAACTCCCAGTCCGAAAGCTCTCCTTTCGACTGGTGGCAGCAGCAGCAGAGGGCACTTCCTGTGTTGTCCCATGTTCTCAAATGAAGATGCTGCTGTTAATTTACTGGGAAGGGGGTTATTTTGAGAGGCACAGAGGCCAGCGGGGTGCTTTCTCCTTGTGCGTGTGGAGAAGCCTCCGAAAGGCGTTCCTTGCCACTGGGTTCTGTCTCAATCCCACCTAGGAAGCGGCTCTGGAGATCGCCTTGATTAAAGTCGTGGCTCCAAGGATGGCGCTCCGTGTCATTGACCGGGCTGTCCAGGTGAGGGAGGGCCAGCCTGGCGGGTGGCTTTTTGACACTTTCCTCTGGTCCTGCCTGGCTTGTACTTCTCTACTTTCTTTCCTTCCACTTAGGGGTCCCCTCTTTGGCATTTCATCCACCCTGCAAATACTTGCAAAACAGGGATGTGGGGCATTTAAAGCTTTGTCTTGGCTTTCTGCCTTTCCCACAGGCCTTTGGTGCAGCAGGCCTTGGCAGTGATTTGCCCCTGGCCCAGGCCTTTGCTTGGGCACGAGCCTTGCGCTTGGCAGACGGCCCCGATGAAGTCCACACGGTCGCCATCGCTAAAATGGAACTGAAGCGCTAGCTGTGCCGTGACCAGGAGCTGCGCAGAGCCCCAGGTGCGGGGCTGGAGCGGATGCGCAGGCCGCGTTCTTGAGGACCAGAGGCCGATCCAGTTTTGCAGCAAGGCTCATCTGCTTCTCACGTTCTCTTGCAATAACCGCTGGAGGAGCATCTAAAAATCACTTGACTGCTCACCTCACCTCTTCTCGATTTTGCTGGCTGCTGCTTCACATTTTGAGCACTAGAAAGTGCTTTGTTGATCTTAAGTACTTTGTTGATTTTTGCTTCTATCTGGGCAGATGGTGAGTAGAGAGAGGAGGGGGATCTTCCAATGGATTCTCGCAAAGAGGCATCTTCTTAATCCACTGATGTGAGGACTATCTTGGGGGTGATTTGATATTTTTGATAATGCCCTTTGCTGAAGAGCTAAATGCAAGTGTTGAAATCATGAAAAAAGCATTGTGAAAGGTTCTATGGAATGCAGCTTTAGAAGAAACAGCAATAAAAAGGACTATCTCAAGCTTGGTTTGTTTGCTCAGATAAAAGGGGCAGAGGGAGGGACACTGGTGAGGAGGAAGGGGAATCTACTAGGTCACTCATCGGGGAACAAAGATTTTTCTTGTTCTAGTCAGAAAATAACTAAAAGCCACTTCAGGGTCTCTTTGACATGCTATATAGTTGGTTTCCTGAAGGAGAGGGCTTCATACTGGAACTAGATACGCTCTGCAGTGTCCTTGTTAATCAAAGCACGCTGGTGGATCAAAAAGAATTTGAAACGAAGGCGGTCTACCTGTTTCATTGGGGGGACCGTATTTTTTCCCCTCCCCTCCGTGTATATGCCGCTTTGATCAACCGAAACCTCAGTGGAAAAAAGCAAAGAAAAACCCTTGACTGGGGATTACCAAGCCAACGAGCCCCAGGGAAACAGAAGTGCAATCGCAGACTCGACGTTATGGGGCTTGAGCCCCCCACCCTCCACTTTCAAGCACGGTCTCCCCCGCACGCCGTTCCCGTTCTACTGCGCGGAGGGTGCCGCTGCCCGGGAGCCTGGGCACTGCTGAATTCCGCCTGGCACCCGCACAGGAAGACTCCCAGGGAGGGGCAGGTCTCCCCAGTGCCCCCGCCCCCAAGGGGAACATTGGGGCCGGTGGCGTTTCACGAGTAAATGCATCTTTCCACGGCCGCGGCTCCAGGCCCGGTTCCATTCACGTTACGTGTGAATCGGCCGGAATCGCAATGCAGGGGCTGGGCTCCGCGAGAGGGCCTTTGCCCGCCTGGCTGGGCTGCCATTGGCTAGGGGGAGGCCAAGGGCCG